GGAATCACCTGAGTATGCAAAAATGTGGATTCTGATCCTATTGACTTGGGTACGAGGAAACCCAGACATCCTGCATTTCTAATAAGCTCCCAGGTGATGCTGATGATGCTGGTTCATGGCTCATCAGCTTCACTTCAAGTAGCTGGGTGAGTGGCTCTCCAAAGCCATGAAACGCAGGGCATTTGTAGGTCAGTTTTATTATATGAGAAAAAAACATTTTTACTTTGCAGAAGTGTTAGCAACTGAGAGGATGAGAGATGATTTATGCCGCTTACTAGAATAGCCTCATAAAGTCCATCATCTTGGAATCTAATATATTCTCTTGTAGGAGATTTGCAAACAGTTGGCTGGTGAACCAGATCGCGACACAGCCGTTGTTCTCATCACAGGAGGTGAGAACTTCCTGATCAGCAGCATCTGTGCAGAGGGCAACTTCTGGCTGTCATAGGACTTTTTCTCAAAACAGAATCCAAATTCAGTGTGGGGAGAAGAAGAAAGAGAGGCCAACAGCTTCAACAAGAAAGGGCTTATTTGTTCATCCCTTCCTGCACAAAGGAAAGTAGTTATTGAGCATGTTCCTAGCATACTACAGGTGAGAGGCACTAAGGTTGTCAAGGTGAACAATGAGAGGCTAGAAAAGAAATTTAGTCAAAAAAATTCCAGAGTTCTGGGTCAAAGATAAAAAGAGTTTCCAAATGTGGGAAGTCGAACAGGGGCTGTGAAATTATTCAACTGTGACTATTCAAATTCTCAACCCCTCTGCTCACACTCAGTGAAAGATTTAGGAATCAGATTGAAAATGTCAGATGGAGTTTCCCAGAGATATCCCAGAATTCTTAGTCATCTGTAATTCTTCCCAGCTGTTCCGAAGTCCACTGTCCAAGTCCTGTAAGACTTCGATGGCTCAGCTATGGATCATTTCTGCACAGAACCCTTGGGAAAAAGTATGCTTAATACCTGTGCCATGGCCCCCTTTTGAGGACATGCAATTTTGCTTACAGATCATGACACATTCAATAGATTCAAATAGGCTATTGTGGAATGGTTCAAGATTATTTCCTAAGTGCTGTTTTCTTTTTAAACCTCAAAAAAAAGGCAGAAGTGGGGGAGGGCTCAGCGACTTCCCACACTTGCTGTGGCCTCAGCTTCCACTAACCCCTAGATTTCCAATCCAGGCACACTGGCCTTACAAGCCCTGCTCACACACTTCCAATATTCCCACTCACTTCAGTGCACAAATGCACACACAGGTCTTGCTAGGTTTTGTTGCTTTGCCAATGCTCATGCCGGTTCCTCTCCTCTCCAAGCTGAGCTTGTTCCTTAATTCATCAAATCTTTATTGCATGCCTTGTGAGTGCCAGGCACCATCCTGGGCACTGGGGATACAGTGATGAACAAATAGGGATGCTCAATCACTTCAGTGCCTTTTGGGAACACAGATAAGTGAATGCGCCGAGCCATTGTAATCCTCGCTAGTGAGGACCAGAGGGAGAGACCCAGTACTAGGAGAATATACAGGTGGTAAGGGTTTTCTGGCCCCCTTTGCGGGGGTTTATGGAAGGGGTTCCAAGCAGATGAGAGCCAGTCCCAAAGAATGAATAAGAGGTGGGGAGGGGAAGAGGTGCCTTGCAGTGGGAAGAGATGAGGCTGGAAAGGTGAGCGAAGGTCAGGTTTGGCAGGGTCTTTTACAGCGTGGAAGGAGTTATCTTAAAGGACCTGGCAGGAGAGAATTAAGGAGCTCTGTAAGGAGGGACCTGGTGTGAATCCCATTTATTCCTTGAAATCTCCCCCAATTATTTAAGTGTTCCCCCACCCCCTTTCTTTGATTTTCAAAGTACTGGCTCTACTTAGCATCTTTATTCTGAATTCAAACACAGTATTTTTATCATCCTGTGGTTACTCTCTGTTGTTGGTTCTCAACGTTTTTGTGCCCACAGCAAACATTCAAGCATTATTATTTTGGCTTGGATGTCCAAAATGCATAATATACTTATTTATAATTTTTGTATATTTATAGTGTCATTATTCCTTCAGTGAAACAATATCACTTAATATCACCCCCCTTACCTTTTATGCTCAAAACTACTGTATAACCTCATGACCACTGAGACAAAATTCACATCAAAAGTGAATGTATGCTCCATGGTAAAAAACTGATTTTGTACATTGATCAAATTATGTGGCGTACCAGTGTAGGGGACAAGTTTTCCTGGTGCCTGGGGCTCAAGAACCATTGTTAATGTTACCTAACTTCAGTGACCTTGACTTAATGAAAACTCAGGAGCAAGAATAGTTACATCGATATTTTTTAAGTTTTCACAATTCTTAACATGGTTCTTGATGCAGCATAAGGATTTACTTGGATTTTACATTTATTTTTCTCTTTTTTTCCTTTTTATTTATTTATTTATTATCCTCACCCGAGGACATTTTTGCATGTATCTTCAGATAGAGTGGGAGGAAGAGAGGGAGGAAGAGAGACAGAGAAACATTGATGTGAGAGAGACACATCAACTGGCTGCCACCCACACAACCCCAACCGGGGCCGGGGACAAACTGCAACTGAGGTACGTGCCCTTAGCGGGAACCAAACCCGGGACTCTCTGGTCCTCAGACTGACGCTCTAACTGGTGAACCAAACTGGCCAGAGCTTTTTTTCCTTCTTATTGAATGTATTGGGGTGACACTGATTAACAAAATTATACAGGTTTCAGGTGCACATTTCTACAACGCATCATCAGTACTATATTGTGTGTTCACCACCCCAAGTCTGTGCATCACCATTTATCCCTCCTATATGTTCCTCCACCTCCCCTTCTTTCCTCCCCCCAGTAATCACCACATTTATTTTCATGACTTAGTTAATTTTGTCGTTGCTGCTAATCCTCACCCAAGGATATTTTTTCATTGATTCTTTTAAATTTTTTTAGATAGAGTGGAAGGGAGGGAGGGAGAAAGAGAGAGAGAAACAATGATGTATGAGAGACACATCGACTGGTTGCCTCCCATAGGACATTGGCCAGGGCTGAGATCGAACCTGCAACCCAGGTACATGCCCTTGACTGAGAATCAAACCTGTGATCCTTCGGTCCATACTCCCTCTAACTTCTGAGCCAAATCCACCAGGGCATGACTTGGTTTATTTTTTAAAATTATGAACTATGTCAAGCATCCAAAAATGTACTAAAAAATTAAATAAAAATAAGGAATGCCCATTTTTTCATCACCTTGCATATGAAATATAGCATTATCATGACAATTGGACCCCCGCTTTACCCCTCCCCACTGAAAGATAACCACTGTGGTGAATTTTGTGTTTATCCTTTTTTATATGCTTTTTACTACAGTTGTGGGTATTCATACACAATACATGGTGTTACTTCTCAGGTTTTAAAAATGTTATATAAATGACATCACAAAGATCCTTCTGTAACTCTTTAATTCAAGATTATCTTTGGGAATCTGTCCATGTTTATGGATGCAGCTCTAGTTTATCAATTTAACTGCTGTACCATATTCCATTGTATAAATATACCACATTGAGGACATTTTGGTTGCTTTCAAGTCTTCACTAAAACACCCAAAGCTGCGGTGAACATGTTTGCATTTGGTTCCTTGTACATAAGCGCGAGAGCTTTCCTAGGCACACAGCTCTACAGCGGGACTGCTGAGTGGTAGGGCATGAGTGCCATCAGCCTAACCAGATATCACTAACATGCTGCTCAGAGTGGAGCAGCTTGTACCCTCATCAGCAGAGTGTGAGTTCTGGCTTCACATTCTAGATAGCCCATGTTACGTTCAGATTTAGAGATGTAACGTATTACTCACACACACACGCCAGGATTCTTAGGGAAAAACAGAACTTTAATTTATTAAATAGTAGCCTTTTTTTTTTTTTTTTTTTTAGAACCTACCAGAGAGCAATAAATTGGCTACTTGACAATTTTTGACAGCCAAGGTATAATTGATCAGATTATATTTTTATTATTCAAGCAAGAGTAATGTTAAGGAAAATCATATGGAGAAAGTACAAAATTGCTTCTAGTATTACCCCATTAATATAGTCACTTTTTAAGTTGCAATATACACTCATTAACTTGGTAATTACTTATTGCCTTGACCAACTTGAATGATTCTTAAAAATGAATTCACTATTGGCTTCTTTTACATTTATGTATCATTTTCCAAATACGTTTCATCCTGTTCTGGTGTTATAGTGGGTCTGAGTTAGATTGCAGGTACATGAAAATGAATACAACACACTTCCAGGTCAGACTTGCTTTTATTTTAGAACTTGTCTCCTGCTACATTGTAAATCCCAAGAACAGCCTTAGTCTTATAGAGCACTCTGGCTTTTCCTTAATGTTTTGTTTTGTTGCAGCAAAACAATTACACACAATGCTTGTGCTAAAATGTAAAACAAATGATCAGAACACAAAATAGCAGTTCATCAAATTAGCCTCATCTCACTTTTTGCTCTCTCACAAATCTCATTCTTTTGCAAACGCCCTGGTAAAGAGCAAATGTTGATCTGGTGGGTGGATTTCACAGGGCAATCAGTAAGAGATGCAGCATGAACTGAATACACAGGCATGGGTTTCCTGTTTTGTGAATAAATAAAATATTTTCCTATGAAATGATGATTCTAACTGTTTTTTACTCAAGAGTCCAGTTGGAGATATAGATATGATGAAAATTATGACAAAAATCTTCTTTAGGCAGATATATCATTGAAATGAATACCTGAACTGGACAGAGTCGTCAAAGCAAAGATTCAGTTAACTCTTTAAGGTCAATGGTCTCAGTTCTCAGGAAAAATGAGATCATCTCATTTCTCAGTTCTGCTCACCAATGACGCCACTCAGAAAAGTCTTTTCCAGAGATTTGAAACAGAACAAATTTAGCATGTTATTAGCCAAATTGTGAAAATTGAAAAATTCTTGCAGCTTTCCCCACCTGTAATAGATCATTTATTTATACTTTCTGGTGAGAAGCACAGGAGTTACACATGCCAATGGAGCCATCTTCTTTTCTGCCATGATTATCTTGTGTCCTCAGCACCTGCAAAACGTAAAAATATGTGAGCTTTTGCTTCCCGCATCAACTAGTATTCTCCGCAGGGCTGCTGTCCAGACACTGGAGCAGCTTTAACCACACGTAGCATGAGTACCTGGGTGTACAGCCCTCCTAGGACAGCCCTTGACCAGTTAATGAACTAAGAACGAGAAAGCCCAGCTTCCTTGCCTAGGGGCAGGGTGGTTCTTCAGCAAAACTCAAATGCCTGGGTGCTGAAAGGAGAGATCTAAAGCTGTCCTCTGTGGCACTTTGCCCAGATAACACCATGTTTGGCTTCCACTCCTTCCCTGTCTTGCTTCCTCCATTCCCTTCCTGGTTTCCCATGAGGGCCCCCTCAGTAAGTTACAGGCACAGGGATCCTCACCTCAGGGCTGGCCCCCGTGAACCTGGCCCACACAGGATCCTACAGACGCTCCCACCTATAGTCTTCAAACACTTCCTTACATACCCACCTCAAAGGGAAAAAATCATGTATTCTTGCCTTGCATGTTTTAAAATTAACATCTGAATGTTTTTTCTTTTCTTTAAAAATTTTTTCAAACTATTTTTATTGATTTTTTTTTAGAGAGAGAGAAAGGGAGAGAGAGATGGAAACATTGATGTGAGTGAGAGAGAGACATTGATTGGCTGCCTCCTGCACACCCCCTACTGGGATGGAGCCTGCAGCCTGGGCATGTGCCCTGACTTGGTATGAAACCAAGACATCTCAGTCCATGGGATGACGCTCAATCCACTGAGCCACACCACTTTAGCTAAATGTTTTTTCATTATGAGTTACAGTAGTTGAAAAGGATGTAATTTGTGACATACTGTAAAAGTGGCATGTAAAAATAAAACCTCCACATTTCTCTTTTGATCTACCCAATGGAATCTAAATATCATAGTGATATGATACATCATTATCCATTTAAAATATATGTAAACATGCTTATGGTTAAAAGTCAGACATTTTGTAGCATTCATTTCTTTTCTTAAACATCTATTTCCATTGTACTTCTCCCATTGACTTTCACTGTAACCATAATACTTTAAATGCTTTAAAATATTTTATTTACCAAATCATAATTCCCTCAAGCAAAAAAATACATATTTAAATGTATGTTTTTTATTTCCTTTGACTATAAGCTTCCAGGGGTTAAAGACCTTTTTAGATTAATTACCATAGAATTTATAAAAACAGCACATACTTAAATTGGTTAATCTATCAAAACAAACATGAACATTTTTATTGGAAATGCACTTCTTAATGAGATGGTAATTGTTCCCCTATTATTTTTACTTATTATTATTCACTTTTAGAGTGAAGCAAAGTTTAATATCAATTCTATTAATAGATATTGTCACAGATTTAGGCACTGATGAATGTTGCTTACTATAGATAGATGGTTTTTGAAGAAATTTTATTACAGCAATGTCAAACAAATCTTTGAATTCTTTCTGAGTTACATGTGAAAAACCACCCAGTAACCTTTCAAAAGCTTTTATAAAAGAATCTGTTAGCCAGTCATAGATGATATTTTCCCATTTCTAGAAAATGGACCCAAAAATGCTTTTTCAGCTTTATCACATAGTTTATCAAGTTACTCTTTCACTTTAAGACACAACTTGAGAAACTAAAATTAGTTGGAAAAATGTAATATTGCTAAGTTAAACACCCTTGACGTGTACTATCACTATCTTTTTTGATAAAATAATATTTCTTATAATCTACTTTATGTATTTTTTTATTTCAGAATCTTGAAGCTGCAACTTCGCTCATTTGCTTTATGGGTGATATTCCCTTATTGCCTAATTGGCAGAGCTAGTCCTTGTTGTAAACCAGACAACACTTCTGCTTTAGAAAGAGTCTGATTTCATCTTTCAGCTGAAATTAGTATGTTACTGAGGGTTTCTGTGGTGATGTCTTACTATTTCTCTCGGAATTTTCACTCAGGAGAATTGGGAAATAGAAGATGGAACAGGCCAGATCACTAAATTTATCATCACTCCTATCATCCGTACTCTATAATATATCTGAATTTATAACATTCAAACATGAATCCAAATACCTTATTTCTAGGAACACACTTCTTCCTTAGCAGAAATGTGCAGATCCAATGTCTACACTAACTCCTTGCTTGACAACAGCCCTCACCCCACCTCAACCCCGTGCCTCCCTAAGAGTGTTTTTACATCTGGGCAAAGTAGCATAATTAGATTCAGAATAATTGAAAAATAGGCCAGTTTTTGTGTGAAGTGGAGGGCATCAGGACAAGGGGATGCAGGAAAGGAGACCCTCCATGACTCCTCACAGAACACATTCTCAGGTACATAGACTCCTTTATGGTTAGTTTTTAGAACTCCATGCATCGGAAAGTCTTTGTGTGACCCCCACTGTACCCCACTATGAACATCACTGGCCTTGCTCAAGCTCCTCATTATACAAAAAAGAAATCTGAAGACCAGGGCAATCTGATGACTTTTGGAGATCATATAGTGACAGCACCCAAACCAGCATCTGGATCTCATTCCCAGTCTGGTGTTCTTTCCATCAGCTCTAGTATATCATTTGTCATCATCATCATCATCATCATCACCATCTTAAATAAGAGTTAACATTTATTATGCTTTTACTCTATTCAAAGTGCTGTTTGAAGCCCTTTACATTGATTTACTGCTCATACTAGCCTGTGATGTAGACTCTATCATTATCCCCATTTTACAGATTGGGAAATGGAAGCTCAGAGAAGCAAAGTGATATGCCCAAGATCAAAGGACCAGTAACTGCAGAAATAGGATTTCAATCCATGTCTGACCCCTGGATTTGCTCTTTCGATGACTGTTTCTCAAAGTGGTTTCTATAAACACTAGCCCAATAAGATGCTCTCTGATAGGAGATTCTGTAGTCAAACTGGTTTGACTATAGTCCCTCCCTCAGAATCACAATGCACATTAGCCCTTCAAAGGAATTGAGATGTCCTATAGAAACGACACATACTTATCAGTGTTTTCCAGGAAAATGTTATTTTCCCAAACACCTATTACTAGAACCCCCATTAAAGGAAACTAATTTTGGCTCAATATCTGTAACACTTGGTCTAATTCTCAAACTCTAGCAGCTCTGACCTAATAAAGGTGGTGTCATTATATATATAAAAAAGGAAGAATCACCAGGACTCTCCACCATGAAGGACATAACAAGAAGGTAACTGTCTGCAAGCCAGGAAGAGAGGCCTCACCAGGAACCAAATTGACTGGTGCCCTTTCTTGAACTGCCCAGCCTTCAGAACTGTGAGAAAATAAGTTACTATGGTTTAAACCACTCAGACTATATAATCGTTATTATGGCAGCCTGAGACATTCCCTCTTATCCCCGCCCGCTCTGTCTCTGATCTACCCCAATTCCTTCCTATAGTGTTGGGAAAGTACACTGACTTAGGAGTTCCCAGACTGGGTCATCTCAGTGTCCCACGGAACTTATTTGAGCTTCAGTTTCTCCATCTGCACATGAGGGATACAGATTCCTGTCTCCCACACAGGGTTTTGGAGGAACCCAGTTAACTTATGTGTATGAAATCACCTTACAAACAGCATAGCTCTGTCCATGGGCAAGCTGTATCTGGTACCTGCCACTTTCTCTTACTGTACCCCTTCCGATCCCCTACTTGATTTCTCATTTGAGTCCCTTCCCAGTCTTCTCGCCCTTCCAGTTGCCAGTCATTTGACCTCCCTCAATCCAATCCCTGGTTGTCCATCATAATTCTCCTTTAGAATATGTCTATTGGCAACACATTCTCTTAGTTTTCCTTTACTTGAGAATGTCTTCATTTTTCCTTCAATCCAGAGGGCTATTTTCGCTGGATCTAAAATTCTGTGTTCATAGTTCTTTCCTTTCAGCACTAAAAGTATATACATTGTTTCATTGTCTTCTAGCCTCCACGGTTCCAAATGATGAACCTACAGTCACTTGAATAGTTGGTCCCTTCTTTCATAATATGTAGTTTTTCTCCAGATGTTCAATATTTTTCTTTATCTTTTGTTTTCAGCTGTTTATGATGTGTCTGAGAGGGGTTTTCTTTTGAGTTTTAAAATCTGTAAGGTTATAGCTTTTTCCAATTTGGTAATTGGCCATTATTTCCTCAAATATTTATTTTTTTCAGAATGAATCTATCTTTTTACTTTCCTTCTAGAATTCCAATAAAACAAATGTTAGACCTTTTTACATTGTCCCACAAGTTTCCAAGGCTCTGTTCTCTCTTCAGATTATGTAATTAGTCTCTATAAGTTCATAACACTTTCCTCTGTCACCTTCACTATGCTACTGAACCCATTAATGAATTTTTAAATGTCAGATGTTGTATTTTTTTTTTTTTTTGTACTTCTAAAATTTCTTTTTGGTTCTTTATTGTTATCTCTGTTTCTCTGCTGCAGATGTTTATCTTTCTGTTCAGTTCAAGTTGTTTATTTTTATCTCAAGATAGATAAATAGCTGCTTTAATGTATTTGATAATTGTAACATCTGAGTCAGCCTGAGGTTGGCATCTGTTGATTGTCTTTTCTTTTGAAAATAGTTCACATCTCCTGGTTCATTGTATGATGCATCATCCTGGATTCTATCCTGAACATTTTGAATATTATGTTGTACAGACTCTAAGTACCATTATAGCAATTCTCTATAGAATTATTTATTCATATATATATTTTTTAATCCTCAACCAAGGATAGTTTTCTGTATCTTCAGATAGAGTGGGAGGGAGAGAAAGGGAGACAGAGAGAAACATCGACGTGAGAGGGACACATTGACTGGTTGCCTCCCGCATGACCCCAACCAGGGCCAGGGATGATCCACAACCTAGGTACGTACCCTTGGCTGGAATTGAACCTAAGACTCATTGGTCTGTGGGCTGACGCTCTACCACTGAGCCAAACTGGCCAGAGCTTAATTCTCTGTAGAATTAAAAAATAGGTTTTAAGCAGGCAATCCACCAGGTAGGTTCAGAATGCAGGTGCCGCCGCACTTCTGCGGGCAGCGGTTTCCATCTCCGTTTCCTGTTCGAAGCCTTCACCATCCTGTTGTGGGTCTTTCCCAACCATGTACAACTTAGGGGAGAGCCTGGGGCTCACACAGTTCTCATAATTAGAATTACAGGATCTGCCCTGGCCACTTTGGCTCAGCGATTGGAGCATCGGCCTGCAAACCAGAGTCCCAGGTTCGGTTCCCACTAGGGGCATGTGCCAAAAAATAAATAAATGGAATTAGAGGATCCCCTTCTCAAGTCCTCTTTTCTCTAGGTTACCCCCAACTGCTGACCAGTCCCTCTGGCCAGAGAGATGGGGTTCCTCTACCATTCCTCTTTTGTTTTAGCTTTCTGGCCCTTCACTCAGCTCCAAACTGTGCTCACCTTCAGGGCAACACCACGAGAGGAAAGGGGAAAAAGAGGAGAATTTCTTCCACCATCTTAGAAAAACGGGGTCTCTGTTCCTAGTTCTTTTGCCCAGAAATATGGGGTCATTACTGAGTTTTTCTGGAGCATCCCCAGCACAAAGCCCTCAAAGAGAAAGGAAAGCAGGAAATTCATGCCCCCAAACAACGTCTCCACTTTCGTCTGCCGTTCAGAGCGCTCAGGTAGGTGCTTTGTGTTTCGTCCCAAGTTTTTGGTTGTAATTAATCAGCGGGAGAAACGGGTAGCATGAGCGTGCTCTATTCAAGACTGAAGGGGGCTCAGTCCACCTTGGCCAGAACCATATCTACATCTGACTTTTCTTTCCTTGCACCTTGTCTTCTCTCCCCTTCTGTCTGCATTTTTCATATTTCATCTCTCCTTATCTGTCTTATTTGTCATCACTTTGCTGATTTTGTTCTATATCTATAATTATACCCACATTTAATATATGCTATATATAGTCTATCTGTGTTTATAAAGTATCTATACATATATAGCATTTTATATATATACTGTATACACACACAGTATTTTATTATATAACTATACTTAAATTTATTTACAATATCTGCTGTTGGGTATTTTTGTTCCCACTTTGGGGCTACTACAAATAGTGTTGTTATGAACATTCTGGTAGATACATTTTGATGAGTATACAGTGATACCTCGGTTCTCGAACGCCTCGGATTTCGACCAAATCGGTATTCGACCAGGAGATTCGAGAAACTTTTGTCTTGGAATCCGAACAAATATTTGGAACTCGAACTTCCGAGATGAGCCGAGTTGAGCCGAATGGCGTTCATTCGGCCCAGCGCGCCTTGCTTGCGTCAGCAGTGTGAGTGCAGAGAGAGAGTCATGCTTTGTGGAGAGAGTCACGCTTTACACTGAATTGAACCCTTAGACATACTGTACACTTTTATTTCTTGTTGAGACTTATTTTTTTCTACATATTATATACAAATTAGGCCAGTAAATAGGCATTTTCTGGGGCTTGGAACGAATTAATCCAGTTTCCATTATTTCCTATTGGGTTTCATTGCTTCGGTTCTCGAACAATTTGGTTCTCGACCGTCCTCGTGGAACAAATTATGTTCGAGAACCGAGGTATCACTGTATATTTTTAGGCTGAGTACATACTTTGGAGTATGATTCCTGGGTCCCAGGAGACATATACTTTCAGCTTTAGTAGATACACAAGCACAATTATTTAAAATAAATTCCCACATAATTTTGGTCCACAGCGAAGACTGTGAATAGCTGCCCTAGAGCCTACTATAGCTTCTTGTTCTCCATCTGCTATTTCCGTTTGGCTGTCGGTCCATCACCATCTCCTCACGTAGCCTGAAAAACTGCCCTCAGCTGCCACGAAGACTCAGAACCACAGCAGACTGTTCTCTCCAGATGCCGCAGGGCTGGGGCTCAGCTAGGAGCCTGCGTCTCAGAGCAGGAAAGCCCTGGTTGCGAAGGGAGGCGGCAGAGCCTGTGTTCAGGTGCTGGCGGCTCACTGCACAGTCCCTCTCCACCTCAACCCTGCACGGTGCAGGGCTCTCCTGCTTACTCAGGACCCATGGTGCTTGATCTCACTCCTCTCCTGTCTCCATTCCCTGACCCCCACCAAGCATTCATACCTATTCTCGTTCTGGTTTTGTCAACACCAAGTCTGTTTGTCTTTCTGGAGTTCTATCTCCCTTGCCCCCTTATTTTGGGGACCCTGGGTGATAAGCCCCTCCATCCTATCATTTCCACCTGCCAGTGGTTCTCATTGCTCATCTTCCACCAGGGAGAAATCCAAGCAAACAAAGGAGGTACTTCAGGGTCTTCAATTCTAATGTATTCAAGGTTACCTTTTTCATCTCGTTGTGTATCGTTTGCTGGAGCTGTGATTTCTTCTGAATGTGCCTCTTCCTTGTCATTCATCATCAGCTCCCCAGTTAAAAAGGGAATATATAACTTCGGGTTCAAATCAGCCGTGGTCCCAGAACCATTCCTATGATTGCTCTCTAACACAAAGACATACTGCTCCTGGGAACCGAATTCACCGAACAGCTCACTGTTCTTGGTCTCTATTTTATACACCTCAGGAATAAGGCTGATGTGAGAGGAAGAGATAAAAAATACATTAGCCAAGTCCCTTGCAGGATTAAATGTCAATACAGCCAGATAATACACAGGAATCAATTTGATGTGTGTGATTGGAATGATCCAAATGCAGTGTGTGGATGAAATTGAACTGACGGTGATATTTTTAATATTCCGAAGGGAAATTAGACATTTGTGTCAGTGGTTGAGGACTCCAAATCAATATAATTTTCATCACTGAATTTTTATTGAGTACTTACAGGTTGTACTTTGCAAAATCAAACTTAAAAGACTCTTTCCTGCCACTCTTCATATGGGTTCTGTTTACTTAATGGAAAATGTTTTTCTTTTTCATGTTTTTCGGCTGCTCTAAAATGTTACATCTAACCTTTGATATTATAAGTTTGCTGTTTGGCAGTACCCCATATTAGACTGGTGCTATAGACTTACTAGTAAGGTATTTTAAGGGCCTTTTTTTCTTTTTTTGTGTGTGTGTAAAAGCAAAAGAAATGGAAACATGGTTCTTGCTAAAATGGGTAATATTTACTCTTTTAGTGACACCAGATCTGTGCCGTCATCGCAAACCAGGTGCATTTAACACACACACACACACACACACACACACACACACACACACCATAGCCAAACTTCTTGCATCCTGAAAACTGAAACACCATTCATTTCAAATGATTTCCTTAAGGACTGTTTCCAGCTGCAGTATTACCCAAACTGTGAATTTGTCAACTCACTACACATTGTCTTCCATGCGGACATTGTCTGGATTGGGAGAGGTGATGTTAACACACTTGGGTCTCAGGTCTGTAGGAGGATAGCTGTTGATGGCACCTGGGGAGAGAGTGAGCTGGTTAATCTAAATTTCACCCTTCCAAATTCTGAGTGTCACCCAAAGTCAGCTCCTCTTTTCCTGTGGTTGGACATGTTTTCAGGAGCAAAATAATTTTATAAAAGACTCAGCAAAGTGGGCACTCTCTGACATTGCAATACCTCGCTGGCAAAGTCAATGAGATACAGTAGTGATTGAGTCAAAAATCCTGATGCTCTGTATGTCACAGGCTTGTGATATACTTCAAGGACATCTCTTAATCTCTTCTATCATCTGTTTCTCCCCCTATAAAAGGAGGATCTTTCTAGAAGACACCATTAACTACTGAAATTGCCTGGCCTATTTATCTTGGAGTTGGAAGAGGCACCATATTTTGCAAGTGATAAGCCTGAGAGTAAATATAAATCTTGAATTCCAAGATTCTTGGAGCTTTATGAGTGCCAGAAAATGTGCATCCCTGAGAGTCCTTGGTAAGCCTGCAGGAGCTGCGGACAACCATTCAGCGTGGCCTCTGACTCACTCCTACTCCCCAGCACAAACCAGGACTCACGTGCTCCTGCAAACTCTTAGGTATACTACTGTAGCCCTGTTCAAACTTACAGCGCATGGATAGAGGCTGGGGCAGCCACTCTCAAAGTGCCACTGTGAAAAGTTACCTTAATTCTCCTGCATGGCTGTGCCCAAGCCAGCTGTCTGGGGCAGAGGCTTTTATTTATTTATTTATTTATTTATTTATTTATTTATTTATTTTATTATCCTCACCCGAGGACATTTTTCCATTTTTTGTTCAGGTAGAGTGGGAGGGAGAGAGAGGAACAGAGAGAGAGAGAGAGAGAAACATCGACCTGAAAGGGACACATCGAGTGGCTGCCACCTGTACGACCAACCAGGGTCGGGGACAAACTGCAACCGAGGTACGTGCGCTTAGCGGGAACCGAACCTGGGTCTCTCGGGACCGCAGGTCGATGCTCTAACCGCTGAACCAAACCAGCCAGGGCCAGGCAGAGGCTTTTAGAAGAGATTTGTGCCCATGGCTCATAAGAATTGAAGTTGGGTAATGGTAGTGGATATTATTTATCATAGCAGTATCTCTTGTTAAGGGCTTAGAAATTGAAGTATAGTTTAATGGGTGAGAGGATAATCCTTGGGTCAGAATGCATGGAGCTGAGTCTAGAATGTTCCAACTATTAACTGTGAGCTTTTGAGCACCTTATTTAATGTCTCTGGAGCTCAGTTTTTCAGTTGTAAAATGGGGATACTGATACTTTTCTTTGAGGGCTGTCCTTAAGGATATAATCCATTGAAAGAACTTGATACATAGTTAACACTCACAGGTTGGGGTTAAAAGACACTTTTTACCCATATGGGGTTTCCCGACAAAGATCTTGATAGGGTAACATTTAAGCTCAAGGTCAATAGACCTCAGATTTTTCTCTGTAGTTTTCTCACTGCCTCCTACTCATGTCTTAACTCTACCATTTTGACTGAAGTGAGGATCCTGTTACTAAGTCCCCTGGTGGATTGTACACATAGACATTAACTATATTACAAAAGCAATAGAAGGAAGCAGCCCCAGAGCTCATCAGTAGATGAGTGGATAAAAAAGTGTGGTACATTTACACAATGGAATACTACTTAGCCGTAAAAAAGAAGGAAATCTTACCTTTTGCGACAGCATGGATGGGCCTGGAGAGTATTATGCTAAGTGAAAGAGGCCAGTCAGAGAAAGACAAATACCATGTGATTTCATTTATATGTGGAATCTAATGAACAAAAGAAACTAACAAACAAAATAGAAATAGACTCATAGATACAGAGAACAGACTGACAGCTATCAGAGGGGAGGGGATTGAGGAGACTGGGTGAAAAAAGGTGAAGGGATTAAGAAAAAACACTCATAGACAGACAACAGTATGGTGATTACTAGAGGAAAAGGGGGCAAGGAGAGGTAGGGGAGGATAAAGGAGGCATAAATGGTAATGGAAGAAGACTTGACTTGGTGTGGTGAACACACAACACAATAAACAGATGGTACATTATAAACTTGTATTCCTTTAACCTATATAATTTTATTAACCAATGTCACCCCAATAAATTCAATAAAATAAATACATAAATAAAATGTTTTAAAAAAGCAATGAAAGAGAAAAGTTTTCATGACTTACGTCTGATTGAATAGACAAATGGCTTGACAAACTTGATTACGTAGTTCAAATCTGGTTTGTGAGTTCGGCCAAGCTGGACTAAGTGATGATCCAGTGGATAGCTGGCTAATTCTTCTAATTCCTTGTCATTGTGCACAGGACCAAATGAAAACACAAATATGGAGTAGCCCTGGCACTTGGCTCTCAGAGATACATTTCTTAAGACTTCCTTATCTAAGGGGTTGGTTTCTCCAGCAGATATAACAAAGATAACTTTGTTTTTCCGCAGGTTGGGGGTTCCTGCAAAGACATTGTCAATTGTCCACTGTAGGGCATGCCCAATAAAAACATCTCCATTGAGCGGTTGAAGAGAGTCTTGGAGATGATGTTTCATTTGGTATATACTGTTATAAGTAACCAAATCAAATTCCAGGTAGACAGGGCATTCCTCAGTGTTGGGCACATAGCCTGGAGGAGAGTAGCTCAGGACTGCCACTCTGTCTCCTAAGGTGGACATCAGTGGATCCGGGGCAATGTGAAAGTAATCGAGCACTGAGATTATGAAAGCTTTCACTTCCTTAAACTCATCATTTCCTACTCTTTGGGAAGCATCAATGAGGAAAGCTACATCCATGTAATAGTCCTGAAGAGAGGCATCTCCAGGTTTGTCAGGAAAACCTGGGTCTTCTTTTCTGCCATAATTTTCATGTCCTGCAACAAAATAACTCAAGTCACTCTTTTAATAGAAGGATAAACTCCAAACTCCTAGCCAAGGAAGACAAATACACAGCATGGGGTGTTGTCATGCTTCATTTCCACACCCATGGCAGACCTCACTAATCAATTACAATACTTGTTCCCAGATTCTTTCTCTAATTATGTCTTCACACAGTGCATGGAAAGTGATTACCATATGACAGATGTCACATGAAAATAAACCTATTTGCTACCCCATCCCAGATCTTTGTTGAAATATTGATTTATCCTCCAGCTATTTTCATATGCCATTAAGAAATATACAGCTATTTTTAGTGCCCTCCACATGGTTAAAAAATTTGGAGTACATTTGCATGAGATCTGGTTATATGTAATGACCATAAGAGAAAGTAGATATGTCAAAGTCACTTAAGGATGTCACAAACACATTTACCTTTATACACACGTTCAAAATATGCACCATAGTGTAATGTTATGAGAGCAAGTATAAATGTTGACTTTAGAATTCAATCTCTGTATAAGATATGACATACTCTAAGACCTTGGTAATCAAAGTGCTAAGCTACAGTTTATTGCTGTATGACAAGATAAGAAGCTTGTACTATGATATAAGTCAATTGTATTACTAAGCACACTGATTAGTGCAGCTGACTTTTTTGTAACAATACTTCCTCAATGAAAGACAGTGCCTTGCCCTGGCCAATGTGGTTCAGTGGTTAGAGTGTCATCCTGCACACCAAAGGGTCATAGGTTCAATTCCCAGTCAAGGGCATGTACTTGGGTTGCAGCCCCAGCCCCTGTTGGGGTGCATGCAGAAGGCAACCAATTGATGCGTTTCTCTTACATTGATTCCCCCCCCCTCCCTCCCTCCCATTCTATCTAAAAATCAATGGAAAAAAATATCCTCAGGTGGGGATTAACAGAAAGAAAGAAAGAAAGAAAGAAAGAAAGAAAGAAAGAAAGAAAGAAAGAAAGAAAGAAAGAAAGAAAGAAAGAAAGAGAGAAAGAGAGAAAGAGAGAAAGAGAGAAAGAGAGAAAGAGAGAAAGAGAGAAAGAGGGAGGGAGGAGGGGAGGAGGGGAGGGAGGGAGGGAGGGAGGGAGGGAGGGAGGGAGGGAGGGAGGAAGGAAGGAAGGAAGGAAGGAAGGAAGGAAGGAAGGAAGGAAGGAAGGAAAGTGTCTTGATTTATATTCTAATGCTCACTTCTTATCTTGTTATAGACCAGCACTTCAAGTAGCTAAAGAATCCTGATGGCAGGTTGGTGAGGCCACAACAGGAAATGCCAGCTCGGAAAGACGAGAAGTGGGTGGTCAATGTATTTTTTTTTCTATGAAAGAAGTATGTTTGTGAATGTAATCAAGAAGTAGATTTCTAGCTGGCAAAAATTTATTGATACCCATTATTAATTTAATAATAATTAATAATTATTAATTTGCATTTTAAACTTTAGTCCTCACAAATAAATTAATTGATTTGTTATTAATCCCATATTAATGCCATAAATGCTTAATATTGGAATAGAATGCAAAGAACACCACCACAAGTAATGTTATTAACAGAGAAAATGCTCTACTAGATGTTTGAATGCTCAAATAACTGCATTTCTGGGGTAAATGGCACATTATCTTTTATATTTATTGTTGATTTTTGACAAATAAAAATTGTAGGTGTACATGTGGTGTTTTGATATCAGTATACCTTGTGTAAAGGTTACCACAATCAAACTAATATTGTTGGGTTTGATTTGCCAGGATTTGGTTTAGAATTTTTGAATCTATATTCATGAGGAATGTTGGTATGTAGTTTCCTTTTCATGCAATGTCTTTGTATTATTTTGGTATCATGGTAATCTAGCCTCAATGAATTAGTTGAGAAGTGTTCCTACCTCTTTAATTTTCTGAAAGAGTTAGTATAGAATTGGTATTATTTCTTCTTTATATATTTTGTTGACTTTACCACTCAAATCACCCTGGCATGGAGTTTACCTTATGGGAAGGTTTGAACTACAAAGTCAATTTCTTTAATAGATTTAGGGCTATTTTGATTACTTATTCTTGAGTTAGATTTTATATTTGTACATTGCAAAAAATTTATCTATTTCACTTGTGATGTCCAATTTATAGTAAAAAATGTTTATAATATTCTCTAATTATCATTTTAATATCTATATGATATATCTCCTCTCTCATTCCTGATATTGGTAGTATCTTCTCTTTTTTCCTGGCAAGTTTGACTATAAATTTATATATTTTATTGATATTCTCAAAGAAACAACTTTGATTTTATTGATTTTCTCTCTTCTATCTCATTTATTACTCTCTTCTGCTTACCTTGGGTTTATCTTATTCTTCTTTTTTAGATTTCTTAAGTTGGAAATTGAGGTAATTGATTTGAAACCTTTCTTCTTTATCAATATGGGTATTTAATGATATAAATGATATCCTAAGTATTGGTATAATGGAATCTCATAAATTCTGGTATATCGTGATTTATTTTCATTTATTTAAAATACTTTCTTTTTTTTTTTTTAATTTCTTCTTCGATCATGGATTATTTAAAAGTATTTGTTTAGGCCCGACCAGTATGGCCCAGTGGTTGAGCATTGACCCATACACCAAGAGTTCGTCGGTTCAATTCCCAGTCAGGGCACGTTCCCAGGTTGTGGGGCATGCAGGAGGCAGCCAATTGATGTTCTCTCATTGAAGTTTCTATTTCTTTCTCCCTCTCCCTTCCTCTCTCTCTAAAATCAATAAAGAAAAAAAAATTTTTTAAATACTTGTTTAGTTTCCAAATACTTGGGGATTTCTCAAAGATTTTTCTTTTTTTGTTTTTGTTCTTTTTATCCTCACCGAGGACATTTTTCTATTTTTTGTTCAGATAGAGTGGGGGGGGGGGAGAGAGAAACATGGACATGAAAGGGACACATTGAGTGGTTGCCACCCTCACGACCCAACCAGGGCCGGGGACAAACTGCAACCTAGGTACGTGCCCTTAGCGGGAACTGAACCCAGGTCTCTCTGTACCGCAGGCCGACACTCTAATCACAGAGCCAAACCAGCCAAGGCTCAAAGATTTTTCTGCTATTGATTTTTAATTTAACTCTGTTTGAGTCAGAGAACATACTTTGTATGAATTGAATACCTTAAAAATTTGAGAATTGTTTTATGGCCCCAAATATGGTCTACCTTTGTAAATGTTTTACATGTACTAAAAAAGAATGTGTATTCTGTCAGTGTGTGGGTTGTATAAATACCCATTAAGTTAAGTTAGTTTGTAGTACTATTCAAGCCTACTACATTCCTGCGAATTTTCTTCTATTTTTCTGCCAATTAGTGAAAGACATTGTTGAAATTCATTGATGGCTCTTTTATTTATTTTTTACTAATTTGTTTTTGTTACAGATGTTTCTCCTTTCCCCCCCATTGACACCCTCCTCCCCATCCCCCTTGCCCCATCCCCAGCTTTGTTGTCTATGTCCATTGGTTATGCATACATGTATATAAGTTCTGTGGTTTATCTCTCTACCACCCCCCCCAACTCCCATCCTCTGAGGCTTGTCAATCTGTACCCCACCTCTATGTCTCTGGGTCAATTTTGTTCATCAGTTTGTTTAGTTTATTATATTCCACAAATAAGTGAGATCACGGGATATTTGTCTTTCTCTGCTTGGCTTGTTTTGCTTAGCATAATACTCTCCAGGTCCTTCCATGCCATCTCAAAGGTTAAGAGATCTTTCTTTCTTACAGCTGCATAGTATTCCATTGTGTATATGTACCACAGCTTTCTTATTCACTCATCTACTGATGGACACTTGGATTGTTTCCAGATCTTAGCTATTGTAATAGTGCTGCCATGAACATAGGGGTACATATCTTATTTCTGATTGGTGTTTCGGGTTTCTTTGGGTATATTCCTAGAAGTGGGATCACTGGGTCAAATGGCAGTTCAATTTTTAACTTTTTGAGGTAACACCACAGTGTTTTCCACAATGGCTGGACCAGTCTGCATTCCCACCAGCAGTGTACTAGAGTCCCCTTTTCTCCACACCCTCGCCAACACTTGTTTGATGATTTGCAAAAAAATGAAGCTAGACCACCACCATACATGAGAATAAACTCAAAATGGATAAAAGACTTAAATGTGACCTGTGAATCCATAAAAAATTTAGAAGAAAATGCAGGCAACAAAACTTCAGACATCATACGCAGCAGAATTTTCACTGATACAACACCTAAGGTAACAGAAACAATGGGATAAAATGAACACATGGGACTACATCAAACTAAAAAGCTTCTGCACAGCAAAAGAAACAACCATCAAAACAAAAAGGGATCCCACTATATGGGAGACCATAATTGCCAATGATGCATCAGATAAGGGGTTAATTTCCAAAATATATAGAGTGTTCATACAACTCAACAGAAGGAAAACAAAAAAAAACAATTAAAAAATGGGCAGAGGACCTAAATAGACACTTCTCCAAACAGGCCATACAAATGGCCAAGAGACATATGAAGAAATGCTCAACATCACTAATCATTAGAGAGATGCAAATTAAATTAAAACAACTATGAGGTATCACCTCACACCTGTCAGAATGGCTGCCATCAACAAATCATCAAATGAGTGATGCTCTTTCCATTAAAAAAAATCTTTGTTCTCCTTGAGCTTTCTTTTGTAGAATTTCTATTGCTACATCTTCTAGCTCACTAATTTTTTTTTACCAAATCTTATTTGTCATTAATCCTATCCCGTGTATTTTTTATCCTTGACATTATAGTTTTTATCTCTAAAAATTCTATTGACTCTTTTTTATCTTCCATGTCTCTACTTAACTTTTAAGCATAGAAATATTGTTATAATAACTTTTAACATCTTTGCTAATTGTAACATTTGTGTATGTTCTGGTTTAGTTTTGAGGGATTATATTCTTGATTGTGGGCCATGTATTTCTGTTTCTTTTTATGCCAGACATTGTGAAATTATACTTTTTGGG